AACAGTTCTGTATCGGCTAATCTACACCAAAACCAAGTAGCAAAATGACCAATATGGAACAATCTTCAAATGTACTCCAGAGTTACATGGTGGAAGAAGAGTTTTTTTACTTCGATTCACCAGAAAACTCTGCTGAACATTTCGACCGGCCGGAATCTGAAAATTCCTACACGACGTGCGCGAGTGGATCTGGACACGACCTGTCGGACAGCAAATCCTTTGTTTCTGCTTGTTCGGAGCTTAATTCTGGCGAACCACAGGAAGAGTTCAGTTCAGTGGAAGACTTTGATGAACATTTCGACCGGCCGGAATCTGAAAATTCCTACACGACGTGCTCGAGTGGATCTGGACAAGACCTGGCTGAAAACCAATCCCAAGAAACCACTAATCCTGTGACACCAGAATTGGAAAAGGAAACTGTGTCAGAGAAACACTGCTCTCAGACAGCTGCTCTGTCTGGTTATAGCCTCCCCCGTGTTCCTGCACATCATCATGGTAGGAAAAACTTAAATCATCTACCGAGTTATCCCCATCTGGCAAACCCTCAGAAAGAATGGACCCTCGCTTATGCCTCTGCTTCAGACCAACCAAAACCTGTGCACCGCCCTGCACACAATCAAATTGATTATTTGGAACATCAGTTGGAGATCCTGACGTCCAAGCTGGAAAAAGCTAATTCTCTTCTGATGAAGGAAAAAGAAAGAAGGGTTTTAGCTGAGGAGGACTGTAACAGTTACGAGCTAGAAGTGAGGGAGCTTAAAGGCAGATTGGAGAAGGAGTGTCAGCTCAGACAAAAATGCGAGACAGAGCTCAGCCAATCTTACGCTCAGATATGCAGATTTTATAAAAGCATGGAAGAAATTAATGAGTGCTCCCAATTGCTTGAGGAAGAAAATGAGCAGTTCAAAAAAGAACCGGAGGAAAAGACTGCCTCCAATGCTGAGATGTCCTCCATCCAGCCATCTAAAGAGGAGGAAATTCCTACCAGAAAAGAACCAGCGGCCATAAAGGACATGGAAGATTCTGAAACAGAAAAGGAACCAGCCGTCACAAAGGACACTAAGGATTCTAAAAAAGAACTTAGTGGAGAGACGGTTAGAAGTGTGAACGAAATCCTTCTAAATTCGAAGGAACTGGATGAGCAAACACCAGGAGGATCACAGCAAGAAGCGAAGGGACTCCCGCCACCAGAAAAATACAGCCAAGAGGATGGCCACTCATCACCAGATTCACTGTTAAGTTTCTTATTGGCCAATTACGTTTCACCGTGGAGAGAAATAAAGAAATTCATGACGCCAAAACACCGGCGTCAATACAAAAACCAACGTGGATTCAAAAGAGAAGAGGGGGATTGGAGTGGGATCGAAAATAGAGAAGTCCCTCAAAGTTCGAAGGAAGTGGATCAGCA